TTTTTTTTTTTTTTTTTTTTTTTTTTTTTTTTGGTTTTATAGCTTTAGTTATACGTGGCATTCTCTTCATCACAACCTCGAAGGTTTTAGGGTTTAGTTTTTTTTTACACTTCTCTTTTGTCCAATGTTTTATTGCTTCCATTGGCCTCGTTGATGCTAACTTTGTTGCTCTTATCAGGCAGTTTTTCCACTAAGACAGGGCAAATGCAGGAAGCTACTGCCGCTGTTGTTTTAAATTTTCTAACGGAATATAGCGGATTTTTCAAAAACCTATTTTATTTTGATTGTTATTTAATTGTTAAGATATAACAGACAGGTAAATAGATTAATTTTTAGGTTCTTGTTGTTTCTCCTGCTTTTCGCATTTCTGCTTTATCGATTTTACTGGATGGCATAAAATATTAGAAAATACGATATACCATGACGGTATAAACCGTTTTTTTTATAGAGAAAAGATTGAGGAACTGAAAAGGAAGAGGACGGAAAGAGCTGAAGGAGGGGGGAGATAAGGGATAAGACAGGGCGAGTGAAGCTATTTTTAACGGAAATTGATAGAAAACTGTTCTGTATTATGCGTTATTGATATGTGTCATGTTTGGTCTGTGTTATTTGTATGATTTTGGTGATTGGGGTTTATTGCATGCAAATTGAATGAGAAGTAACGCTGGAAATTGGTGTGTCTGAAAAGCAAAAAAGGAGGAGTTCGGGGAACGTCAATAGAACGTATGACGGATGCTTTAACAACTTTGTTCTGTTGTTACAACAGATGAACTAGATATTATAGTACCGGAATTACCTGCTGTCGTCTGTGGAGTATATAGATGACTTTTGTTTATTAAGCTGCAAAATTATGCTTTAATGGTCTGTTAATTTGATAAACTGATAAGTCAAAATCTTTCCCTAATTTTTTTGTGATAACGTTAGGGGCAAATTGATAATTCTAAGTGAGTTTATGTAGCAAACTGTGCTAATGGATAGGGGGGATGTGAGTTTTGACATTTTCTGATGTCTAGTGTAATTATGCTTGAACTAAACAGCATTATGATGGTTAGATTCGTTGCAAAGCATTTTAAAAAAAAGAATCAAGCAAGTTAATGGCTATCTGTTTCTTTTAATGGTTCTTTTGCTGTCAGAAGTAATTGTTTTGTTTTTGTTTTTTTTGTTTTTTGTTTTTGTTTTTTTTTTTATTTTTAAATCGGTCAGCTTTTCTATTGGTTAGACGTGAAAACGGTGAAGAAGAAGTGACAAGAATTATCGGTCAAAGTAGCTCTTTTTTTGTTATATTCTTAATCAGCAACTTTTTTTGTTTAATTTATTTTACTCAACCAAATCATAACAGCAGGAAAAGTAAACGACAACAGCAAAAATAAGACAAAGGCAGAGATTAAAAGGAGCAAAACAAAACTGTATAACTTTAACTAAGGAAACTGAACAAATAAATGAATGGCTTTTTTTTTCGTCTTTTGGTTGGTCAAACAATAAAGCAATTTAAAGAAGCCTAAAAATAAATTTAATACTACTAGTTTACTTTTTATTCTGATAAATCAAAAAAGGAAAAGAAAAATGAAGTAAAAAATTTTTAAATTAATGTATAAAAACAATTTCAGTTCGTCAAAATCAGAATCTTTCAGTCCATCGCAAATTAGTCCGGTTTCTGTGAAAAGCTCAACGATGTCGGACGATAGTGGTATCGCTGACGGACAAACGAATTCGGAAAAAAAAGTACAGAATATGCAATTAAAAGTAAAATTCTGCCTTTTAGAGCTGGAAATTGATCCCTTTTTTTTGCGGTTTCTTGTCAACACGCTAAGTATTTGTCCAAATGTCATTTTTATCTTAACCTTTTACTTTATTAACACCGATTATCGACTGTCTGTTGCTCCTTTTTTTTTTTTTTTTTTTTTTCTGTGTACGTGGATAATAATGACATTGTAGGGTAAAAAAAGTGTTGAAAACGTGAAACAAAATGGATCACCAGATGTAAATCAAAATGGGCTGCCGGCTGGTGGTAGCGGTATCAACGCTGTATTGTTACAGTTGGAACAACTGATTATCTCCGATGAATGGATTAGCAACGATCAAAATGATCAACAAAATTCACATGCAAAACAAATACGGTACCAAATTTATTTTCTTCCGCGTTTATTTCAGATTTTTCCCAACAACTTTTTTTCTTCTCTTTTTCTTCTTCTTTTTCTTTTTCTTTTTTAAACAATTATGAAAATTACAAAAAGAGCAGCAAAAAAAAATTTTTTTTTGCTTTATGTAGAATTTCAAGTTTCAAATCATCTAAATCTTCCAACTCAAAATAAAGTGAAAAAATGAAGTTTTCTCTTATGTAGAAGAATCGTATAAGGTTAAAATTTATTCTTTCTCTAACTGGTAAGATAAACCAGATTTTTTTCTTTTTGCACTTTTATCTTTACTTTTTGTTTTCCTTGTCTTACGGTTGATTAATTGTTATGGTTTTCAATGATTTATAGGGACCATAGCGAGAGGCCTCGACTAAATGAACTTGGACGTACCATTGTGACATCAGCATCGTTGAAGGCATATATCAGCTTATTAGGAACGCATCATAAACAGAGTATTGCTGCTTGGCTGTACGGCAATACTTCACAGGCACTCTGCAATCAACTGAGATTTTCAAACGGAAATTTGCGATGCTTCGAAAGCGGTTACTCAACTGTACACGCGATCAAAAACGGAATTGGTTTGTTGCATACTACACAGATAATTCTTAATTAACGAACTATCAAATCAGCGTTTCATTGGTACTTAGTGCTTTAGTTTAGCTAATCTGTTCTAGCAAACTGAATCCTAAGTTTAGCAGATTTTTAGGTCTAGCAGTTCGTTTAGCATTACGTGACGTTTATGGTCCAGAATATGCAAATCGAGGGTGGCGAGCATTTACGGAATTGGTAAATTTTAAATTTCAAACTTTTTTTATTGAAAATTTGAACCACAACAGAATGTGAACTGATATTTTTGTTTTCATTACATAAAAATGATATTATTAAATAACACATAAAACTGTGCTGTATGTAGACGGAAGGCTTAGTTGGCATGAAGATCACGGTCAAAAATAAATGTAAAACAGATATACTGTGAATTGAAATTGCTTTTTGTCACAGTGCATATAGATATAATTTTTTTCATCATTCGAATATAAAATGAAAACGGTTTAGAGAATTTTGACAGAAAGGAAAAAAGCAAAAGGTTTAAAAACCCTAACATTAAATGTAGTTAAAAAGTTCACAACAAGTTTTTTTTAAACTGTTAAAGGAAATTGTTCAATAGCAGTTTTGTTCTCATTGACAACAAAACAGAACATTTTAACATGACTAATGTTCAACGTTTTGTTACCCTATTTTTTCTCGTACAAAATTTGAATTGAAATGAAGAAAACGATCAGTCTTAGCTAAGCAACTTTTAATCATTTGAATGTTTTGTTTACCAACAAATGATTCTTCAATATGGCTGCTGAGTATTCAAAATAGCTTAAGCTATCTCAATTTTCATTGATTTTACTTCTTTTTATTAATTCATATTACTTGCCGTTCTTGAAGGTTTTAACTGCATTGAAAAGCGATGGTTTTTTGAATGCTTTGCTTCACAATTTTTACATTTTAAGGTCGAACAGTATTTTTTTAATCAAAATTTTTATAAAGTTTAAGGAGAAAAAATTTGATCTTTTTGAATCATTATAATAATTGCACTACTGAACCTTGAAAATATCATAATTTGGAATTTCTCATTTCTGACTGTTTTCGGTTTTATAACAGAATGTTTTAGTTTATCGTCTTTTATGTCCTCTTCAGTCAGTTATGCGGTATTTATTTGTCTTTTTTCCAGAAGACTGATAAGTAGAAAAGCAAAAGAGGTGAAAAAAGAACTTACGGAACCACTTTTAGTATATTTTTGGTAATATTGAGGTTTAAAAATATTGTGGTTAAGAGCATTGTATAATTGCAAGAAAGAAAAGGAATAAAAAAAGCATGACTGATTGCTACTCTTATATGTATTGTTCATAAGATTTATGAATTTCTACATTGAGAAGCGAAATTTATTAGCTTATTTTTTATTCTCTCAGAAAATTACTTAAGTGAAGTAAGCTATCATAAAGTTGTAAGCTACAATTGTTTTTTTTCTGCTTAAGTAGTGCTAAACAGCAGAGGAAGCTAACAGGTGAGATATCTATAGTGTAGCTTTTTGAAAGATATCTAAGATTACCATTTTTATTAGATGTATTAATAGTTAGTGCATATTGTATGCATTACACGTTAAAATTTTTAAAATTTTTTGAATTTGAATTATGTATATCTTGATAGAACAAAAGTTTTTTTATTTCTTTGATTATAGAAAAGTAAATGGCGGAAGGAAAATTGATGTACAGAGAAGTTGAAGAAGAAAGATTAGCTGGAGGTAAAAATGAAATTTAGTAGGCTAATTTTTTTGCATCAGGTTTCCCGTTCTGCTATTTGTTATTGTTGTTTGTTGTAATAGGAAAGAAAAATATTTGGCTATATAGCATTTTTTGTAGCAAAGAGGTATAATTTTTTAATTATTTTCATGCACATTACCGGTTTCTACAAGTTATAAAAAGAAATCAACTGTTTAATTAGAGATAAAGAAATCTTTCCACAAAGTAGTAAGGGTGTATATAATAATTGGGTTGTACACTGATCTTTTAGAATTTAGGCAGTAGGAAACGATTTTGTCTCAAAACAATAAAAATTTACTAAATGACCTTAACGTAGGGCGCTCCAGTCGTCTACGTATCTCCAGCACTTCGGATCGATCTAGTTCCATTTCTTTCCAGTGAATATGGTATTTCGGACGTTGTCGTACTTCCAAAATTGCCCGGAGATTATGTGGGTATCGAAGGCCGTATTGTATGTGGTTATTATCAGAATTACTGAGGAACTTTTTTTCTTCAAACAGTCATTTTTAGCAGAACAGAAGCCTAATTTTAACAACAAATCTTTAAGGACTACAAATTATTTGAAAAGCGAATAAATGAAGACATTGAAAAGGGTAATAAGCCGTTAATGGTGATTGGTGTAGTTGGTTCAACAATTTTGGCACAAAATGATATGATTAGCAGATTGTTGGAAATTCGTAAAGACAAGTTTCGTTTCTGGCTGCACGTCGTTGGTCAGGTTAGAGCTTATGGCAACTTTTTTGGTTTATTAAGTGTAAGTTGACATTAGTTCATACACTTTTATATATTCGCCTTATAATGTTGCGCAATTTCTGAATCCTGTACTTTAGGGTATAGCGGCGCTACTTACTCGGGAACCAAACGAAGTTTTAGTTCAAGTTTTATCTCAAGTAGACAGTATGTCAATTCCTCTTGCTCAGTGGCTTGGTATTCCGGCAGCTCCTGGAATTGTAAGCTATTTTTAAAAATTTATGAAAAATTTACTTTCAGAATTATTGGAAGGCTCATACAAACACTTTTTAGAAGGGAAATATTTTACTTTTATAAGTACTGCTCGATAATTATCCTAATACAGCAATGGTGACTCATAAAGTAATTATTTTACATGACTTAATAATTTAGATGCTACACAGACCCGTAGAAGACCAAAAACTTAATTTCAAGGAGAAGTTGGATGTTCTACCTTGGTGGATTGCTACGCAGTATCTAACTACAAAAATGATAACAGATATAATCGAAAATGCGTTTTATCTGGTACGTTGACAGATTTACGTTTACGTTTTGTTTTTTATTTTTTGAAATAACTTTTACTGCTACAGGTTCTTAGTGGAAGTCTGTAGCACTGTTCTTAACATACTTATTTTTGTAGTGTAAAATGATGCTCAAAGGTCTTTCTTCTTTTCCGCAAATTCAAATTATGGGTATTGATAATCCCGTGGACTTTGTTAACAAAGTTTACAAAGGTCGAACTATGCCACCGACGTCATTGGTTTTCAATTATCGGCATCTCCAGATGCATCAAGCTGATGAGGTTACTACTACGAAGAAGTGGTTTATGTTCATATAAGTTTTCTAGTTTTTTGTTCAATTTGTTTTCAGTGAACAAGCAAAGACTGTTAATTTTCAACTACTTCAAAGTTACTATAGATTCCATCGGCGCGACGTAACTCTAAAGATACGAAACCGGAAGCCGAAAGAAGTGTGTCGCTTCCAGCTGATTTTAGTAATGAGAATCGCCACGATGAAGAAGGTGTAGAGGAATATGCTCGAGCACTAAATTGCTGGGTACTCCAAAATTTTTTTTTTTTAAAAACCTCATTATAATACCAGTTCACTAGTGAGCTTAGAAATGAATTTTTCAGATGTGTCAAGGCCTCTTGCAAAGCTGTCGTCAGCTTGGTCTGCAGGTGGTTGAACTTGGTGAACAACATGGAGTAGCATTTAGGTTTTCTCCTCTAGAAACTGCAGCCAGTAAAATTTTGTCTTGCCTTAATAATTTACATAATTAACAGCTGTAGGGCCCAATAAGAAGTTGCAAATTTGATAATGGTACAGACTGGCGGTCTTACAGCGCTGATTGGCTGGGGCACTCCTGTATATCCCCAAAAAAAAGCGATGCTAATTATAGTTTTGCAAGTTTTAAGGGAGCTTTTATGATATGAGTGCAAAAATAGGCTTTTACCGGTAGCAGAAGGTTTGAAAAATTCTGTTAAAACACCCGAGTTAACTAATTATTACCCTACAGTGGTAGAAAAATCGGGCGCTTATTCCAGCTTGTATGTTTCTTTCTTGTTGGTTTTATTTTTTAGTACTTATTTTTGTCTACTTCATTTTTCCTTCTACATGAAAAAGTAAAATCTTGCGTAGCATAGCTGGTAAAAGCGAGTGAGGTGGGAAGAACTTTGTCGATAAATTTTCATGATAGCCAATTTCCGATTGTATGGCTTGAATACATTGCTCTTGTTTGCAAAGCGGTATTGGTCTGCATTCGATTTTAGACCTTTTCACCGCTACATTGTTTTGATAAGGCCGATTATAGATTTTCCGACCGTATTTGCATACCGCAATTTGTAAAGAGTGGCCAGAAAGGAAGCAAACTTTTTGAAAATGCTGGATGTTTTTCAAAATTCCTATGCTGCTTCAAAAGTTTTTAGCTTGTTCGTGAGTTTGAATTTTCGACTCGCAGTTTGGGCACGTTTCGTTGTCTCACCGTGCTGCTGCAGTTTTTCAAAAGAGACACAGTCTTTGATGTCTGCGAGTAGGAACGTCAGTCTGAACCAGCTTTACATGTCGGATAGTGTTAGAAAGAGGCTGTTTTTCAAAAGATTGAGTGCTTAGTAACAAATGACTATTAAAGTTAAATATTCGTTTCATTAACCGTCTGAATATAAGGGATTTTCAGTTAACTCAACCACGGTAAATAATATTCAAGATTTTGTGAAGGAGCTGTCTAATACTATCAAAATAATAGAGTCTACAGCTGCGGCTCGTAAACGATTTGTTGATATTGTAACAGAACAGCCATCTCTGATGGTTATGCATATCAAAAAATGGGCCGGTGTTGGAGCTGTATGGTTCGTGCCTTGATCGTTTTTTCGTATGAATAATGTCAACTTTAGTCGCTTTCGCAAGTAAAAGTGCTTACTTCCAAACATGTTTTTTTTTGATCGTCAACTTCACTTCATCTTTGGTTTTCAAATTTTTGACACCGCCTAATTTGCCTGTAATAATTCAAGAGCTGTCTATTTGGTTCTTGACAACTTTCTAATGGTCTAATTTTGCGATGTCGCTTTAATCCCTTTCACATTTCAAAACGCTGCATCCTTGTCAGTAAGTGGTGTAACAATCAGTTCATGTTGCACCTTCAATCTCGGAAATTTTGAAGGTGTTCCAATCTGTCCCCTGTGCAGTTCCTCTAATCACAGTTTTCACATTTCTTTACCCTTTTCTTGTCTGCCCAACAACACCTATTTAATCATAATCTTTTAATTGTGTTTATAAAACTCCACAAATGACACTAAGTAAATTAATTTTCTGGAATTTATGCTTTTGCCACTTATAAATTTTGCTACCTGTCTTTTAATGTGACAGATATGAAACAGAAACCTGACCTTTAGAATCCTAACAGCTACGCTTTGTCTCGTACCTTTGTTTTAACTTTTCTCTGCTTTCTCTCACCTCGTTTCAGCTGTGTTGCATCTTTCATAATCTGTGGACGCCTCTCTTCATTTTTTTTCAAAAGTTTTTTTTTTCAAGGTTATTTTCCTGCATTCGACTTATTTCCTTATAAAACAACTAGAGAGGCATTCAAAATTTTGAAAGCAGACTTTCTAGAAAATAAATTCACTTAGTGTCGTTTATCCAGTACTATTTACGCAACTAAAATATTGCAATTAAATAGGTATTTTTGGGGAGGAAAATGCCTAAGAAATCTGAGAACCGTGATTAAAAGAAATGCACAAAAAGGGGATTTGAACCTCTTCCAGATTCCTCGGAATGCGAGTATGGTATGCATCCGCTAATCATTACACCTCCTGTTGACCTGGCTGCAGCCAAATGGTAAAAGGATTGCAGCGACATTTTAGCACGAGACCGATATAAAATTAGCAAAAACTAAATAGTCAATCTTGGAACTATTATAAACGAATTAAGAGGTGTCAAGAACTCAGTATCTAAAAAATAAAGGGAGGTTGACAATTAAAAAAATTTGTTTGGTGGGTTATTGTCTGTAGTTGTGCCGAGAATTTCTTCAGGGCTAATGGTATGCCCATTAACCTGATAATGGAGATTAGCAATTGAAGTAATTTGCGGTTGTAAATTCAAGAGTTTTGATGGCGTGGCATAGTTTTTGGGATATACAATTAAACGGCAAAACTGACGTTTCTATACAGAAATTTAACTGTTTCAGTTTTATTCCATCAATTGTTAAGGGAACGAACCCGTCGGAGTGGTATGAGCAACAGCGGCAGCAAGTATGTTTAGTGCATATTTCTAATTGACTCACCGAATACATAGAATTGGGAAAGACTTTTTAATCAGCTGTATTTTACAAATAGAAATTTTTGATGAAATTGGTGGTTTTATTAGTGAAAAGGGTGGTGTCTAATAATTCACAGTTTCCAGGTATCGCAGTTGAATATTGAATTGGTGCACTCACTTCGTTCGGTTGATTCTGCATTTTCTTTAGGCGAAAGTTCTAAATATGGTGTTTCATGTGTTAAATTTGGTATGCTGTCCGATGAAAAGGATCTTGACTATCTGCTTCGGCTAGTCTCAGAAAGAGGGCAAGAAATTGAAAAATCACAGCAAGTTAGATGTGTCGTTTGTTTTATCAAAAATTAAAATGAACGGTGAAAGTTTTAGTTTTTACAGTATCTGCTGACAATAACTGTACGCAACTTCATTTTGATTTTCACGCTGTTTCTTAAAGTAGCTCAAAACCTAAATCATATTTAATTTTGTGAGTAATGTTATTAGTTTGCATTGTATGTTGTCAGTCTTCCTTCATTGTCTGAGGAAGAATCGCTGTTGATAAGTGCTAAAAGTAGCAGTTTTTGCTTCCAGGGCTGTAGGAAACTAAGATGTTGAAGATTTTTTATTTAAGTCGACAACTAAGCGTGTTTTGTTTGGCTCAGTTCAAAAACGCTTCAAATGACAAGTCTCAGGATGCTAATTTACTGCATACTGTGAAAGACTTTCAAATATTTCATACTAATGAATTTTTGCAGTATATGAACAGTTTGGCAGAAATGATTCGACAGGGCATAGAAGCAGCAAACGAAGATCTGAAAAAAGAGAATGACGCGCGACTGATGCAAGAGGTTACTGGTTTTTAAAATTTATTTTTAATTTTTTTCCAGTTAAGTAGTTGTAGTCTTGCAAGGGTTCTGAAATTCTAATTTAATTTGTGCATTTATACATCGTTTTGGATAATTTAGATATAACTCGAATCTCATTTGAGCAATAAATTGTAGGGCGTTGTGCGACAAATACCGCTTATGGGCTCACTTTTCAATTGGTTATCGCCACTTGACAAAAGCACTCAAAATTTGAAAGGAAGATCATTTGATTTAAAAACAGGTGTGTAGATAAAGCTTACGGTTTTTGCTATTTAATCGTTTTACACACCTATTTATACGTCGTTTTTTTTTTTTTTTTTTTTATTTGCAGACTGAAACCTGTTCTGCTGTTTTTTTGCAACTGCTAACTAGTCTGTCTATTTTCAGGCCAGATTCAGTCGACTGAAGTGTTTTACAAAAATCGCCTCAATAAGGCCGATAAAGTTTCTGATGAACAGTCAGAGAACAGTAAAGTTCCTGAGAATGAAGACTCTGAGCCTGCTAAAACAGATGCACAGTTGGTAGCATCAGAAGAAGAGTCTGCAACTAGTTAAGATGATACTTTCTACCCACGAAGGGTTTGTAAAGTATATTCTTTGTTTTAATCCTTAATTTTTGTTTTTCTTTTTATGTTTGGCTTCAGAACGTTCCAATTATATGTGATCGTTAAAAAAACAGCTGAGAAGGGTGATGTATCAATATAATAATTAGTTTGTGGTTGTGGTTCAGTAAATTTTATTCCAAATTGATTAATTTGTTTATTTTCATGACTTGTGATGATCAGTTCTGCTTGATTCACACATGTAGCATGAAACAGTTTATTCAGTGAGCAAATTCGTTTACTTTAGTTTTGTCAATTTATTCAGCTTTGTTTATTTTTGTTAAAAAGCTGTATACCGGAATCAAGCTGAAGTACTGCTGACGAGCTCTGTTGTATCATTTGGAATCTGTGATATGTATTACCTTGTCTTCAAAATTATATTGTTTTGTTCTGTCATCTTGTAGTGACCTGTGATATTTTTCGAGCTTTAGACGGTAGAAGTGTCATTGGTAAGCGGTAAGAAAAACTTCCAAAAGTTCTTTGTTCAGCTTTTACGTCACTACGATGCTAGTGATGTTATGCTCAGGAAATGAGAAGAGAAGTACTTTGTGAAAAAAATTCACTAGTAAATTTTAGAGCTGTTAGCTAACTGTTTTGCTAAAATCTGCTAGTATTTAAAAAAGCTTAATATGTTACTTGTCAAGCCTCACCACTTAACAGGAACTGGTACTGACTGCAAAGATGATTTCGGTCATGTAGAAAAACAGTTGGCTCATGTCACTAAAAGTCAGACTTCTAAGTTCGTAATTATTATTGGAAGTCGCAAGAATTTTGGAAGTTTTTCGTTGCAGTTTTATCGTGTGCAATGATAAAATTATCTGCGGTTGGGAGTTTTTTTGCTTATTAAAAAAACAATTAAGTCGTATTTTTTTACGGTTTCTAGCAGTTTCGCTGAAACGATGTTTTTTCATTTTATGCAAAGAATAGTAAATATAGAACGGCGGAAAGATGGCTTTTACCTGTGGAGGAGCGCATACAGCTTAAAGAATTTGTGTCAGATGAGTAGAGAGAGAGCGTCTTGAGAGGCTTTTAAATCACTAGCAAATACGGCTAAAATTCCTCTATTTTTTACTCCAGCGTTTCCTGATTAGTTCTTTTGCTCCCTTTTGCTCCTTCTGGGTTTTCTGGCTAGTTGTCAACGCAGACCACTGCAAAGAGATGTATTCTGGGCCATTTAAAATAAGAAAATTATTGTTGTTCAGAGAACGTCCTTTCCATTTAATCGGTAGTTGATGGAGCTTTATTTGGAACTTTATTTCTATCCCCACTACTCTCCTCATAAAGATCTTTTTGATGCTAGACAAAGAAGGCTTTTCGCTTATCAATGAGGACAGTTGCAAGTAGTGTAAACGGTATTACAACGGTACTTCTGATTTTGGAAGCATTCCTCATTAATTTTACTTTCGTCGAGAGGACAGCAGCTTTATTCTTTTGCTCAAGCGGCTATAAAAGCGTATTTTTGTCATTACGGTTTGCAGAAGCAATAGGAGTTATTTCACTTAGAAGTATTGCCCTTTCTCGGAAAAATAGTAAATATCTTTGTCACATGAAGTAAATCTTTTGAAATTTTCAAAGAGAGATTAAAGTTCGTAAACGTTTGACAACGAGAGCGTTGATTAAGTGAAGGAGGAATCTATAGCTTAGTTATCCTGTTAGTTCGTCTTTCTTGACAGCAGAATAAATTCAGAAATTGAGATGATAACACGCTCAAAAAACTATCGCTCATACCTTTACTTGTGGAAATATTCACACTTCTTCTTCTTTTCATCAAGATTTTACTAACTATTAAAAATTTATTTATATTGCGAAACAGCAATTACAGCTTTATATAAAAATAAAGTGAAGACGGAAAGACAGCAAAATTTGGAAGTTCGGTTTGGTTCAAAATAGTCTCAAACTCCAAAAAATGCTCTTTTTGTATTTCTTTACAGTTTTACGCATTAGCGGTCTGAAAATTCTTTGATTTTTGAATAGTACAAGAGATGCTTCGAAAGGAAGACACGATAGCTGAGAAAAAGGGACGATGAAACCAAAAGAGAGAAGGAGTAAGGTTGGTAAAACTTGAGGCATTGCTGTGCTGTTCTCTCGCTGTTCACTTTTTCTGGAAAAGAGGAATACAGCTAGATTGTTAAGCAGCTACAAAAGTTAAAACATTTATGCTTCAGGTTAACTTTTTAGTTTTTCGTCAGCTTCTGCCGAATTTCGACAGGAAGTATAAAGTTAGTATAAAGACCTGCTAATTAAACTTTTGTAAAATTTTGACAAAGTTTGAGTTTCCTTCGTGATCTACTCCTATTTTTTTAATAAAAACATCTTAAACTCTTCTACACATGATTTTGTACAGCTTTCTAACTTTGGCTGTTAATTGATCACAAAGATGGTTGCAAAGTTTGAAAGGTTAGCTGCGACAGCAAAAAATCAAGTAGTACTTTTAACATTGAAGTAAAGTCAAATTTAAGCATTTGTGAAAAAAAGCTTGTATTTGTTACAAAAAACTTTGCTGAGGAAGCACTCATAGGAAATTAATAATTATCAGGTAACAGTAACATAGTCACTTTACATTTACAACTCGATGTATGTATTCTGCTATCATCAAGATTGGCAAGAACTACTCAATCACAGCTCTGTGCCTGTCACGTGTGCAGCAAGTTATTCGGTTACTTATTACTCCATAAAAAACTTAAAATTTCACTTTCTGTGTCCGTCATTTAACAATTCCTTCAGAAGCAATTACTAATTTCGTAACTTTTAATGGGTTAATAGATAAAAAAAATAAAGATAAAATTGAGTGTCTGATTATGTCAATTTGTCCTGTTGTTACAAAAAAAAGGTTTTTTAGTGGGAATAGATTTCTACATCATATTAATCATTTAACAAGACATTCAAGATAGTAAGTAGACGGATTCAATCCTAATTTGGTTTGGGAGGGAAGATGTTTTTGTCTGGAAAAATTCCAGCGGAATTGGCTGTGTGTCATTATGTCATATCGAGGCGCCCGGAAGATTTCGGAGCGGCCTCGGGAAACGTAGGTTAAATTTCTTTGTTAATTGTGTAAATGAGGTGTTATTAATGTCATTTTGTTCCAATTGCTTAATCTGTTTGCAATCCAAATTCGTCCGTTTTTGGTCCTGTTTCTGCCTGGATTTTAGCAAAAATGTGACAGGATGTTTGTTTTTAACAGGTACTTTTCAACTTATCTACTGTTATAATTTTTGTTTATGTGCGAAAACATGTGCGTTGTTATCTTTTTTTTCATTATCTACTTAATGAGGGGATAAAGAATGTGTGAAAAAAATAGAGTAATAATACTGAGGGACGAAAAAAAACGGTTTCAAATCAATAATTAAAAATCCAAAATTTAATGTTGAATAAAAAAATTTTGAATATATTACAATACTGGTATAGAAGCAGTAGTTGCAGGGGAAAGAAATAGACGGAGGGGAAAAATAGGGAAAGAGTCATTAAGATAGCTTTATAATCATTGTGAGTGATATCAGTTTTGAGCACAGTAACCTAAGAATTAGTTAAAGTGGAAAAAAAAACAGGTTAGATGTGAAAAGTTTGGTTTCAAAAAAAAGTTTTAAGGAAATGGCAGAAAATCAAGATGCTAATATAAAATAAAAGTGCCTTAAGAGAGAGGGAGAAATAAGTTTTGAAAAAGTTAAAATACTGGTATTCATTGTTATTGAAAATATTCAAAAATATAATACTAGTATTCAAAAAAATGAAAAAGGCTTCTTTTATACTTCATATAAAAACGGTTTTTAAAACTAGTTTGTAAATTTTATTAAAATAAAAAAATTGTTTTCCTAAAATTAGTGATTTGTACGCGTTCTAGAGGGAATATTTGTTTCATAATCTAGGGTCGAAGGAATGCTGTAAACGCTTTGAAATTGGCAACGATGCAAAGGCAGGTGAAGAGGCTGTCTGCGAGAGTCGCTATGGATGCAGTTTGTCAAACACGCAGTCGAAGAGAATGTGAGGTGCCTCAATGATGTCAGAACACGAGGTATAGGCTGTCAAGCTAATGTAGTACTATCAGAGCGGGTCCACCTCTTCAGTGTATCGGCCTCAGTACTGAATACAAAGGCTACTGATGGTGAGGAAAATGACGTAGAAGGCTGTTGAAAAGAAAGTTGCAAATATGGATTAGTCCAGGGACCGAGGCAGGAGACTTGGAGCTGCCTCTTCTTAAAACGGCGAAGATGGCTGCGGGGACAAAGCTGTGCAACAAAATGCACCAAATCGTGGTCAAAATAGCGGAAGCTTGGGATGCATGGAGCTGCAAGTTGAGCGCACCTGGTTTCAAACCACTTCCGCTCGCAACTTACATTTCCAACGCTTTGGGTTTGCCTGGGAAAAGAGTGCGGAGTATTCTGACACAGACGCAACTAGCAATGGACTACCGGCTGCAGAAGCAGATCCTGCCAGCCTGCAAATCACTGAGGAAGTCCCTGTCGCGAAGAGAAGTGTAGGGAAGTATGCAACCAGATTCGATCCGGTAGTAAACAAAACGATCTGTGTTGTCATCAACCGCCTTCACCGTGCCAGTACGCCTGTCGTTCTTGAGGATTCGCGGCAAACCCTCAACAAACATTTTTGGGCTGCGAGTACTAACTGACAAGTGGAATGAGTGAAACAGGACTGAGGAAGCTGATGGTAGGACTGTGTTACAGGTACCGCCTTTTTAATATTAAGTTTTACGGTAATTATTAGAAAATGTAAAAATATATAAATATATAAAAATAACCGTTACATGAAGCGTATTTTTCAGATATCAAATAATCTAGCAAAATCCTGTGCTGATGGATTCGAGCGGCTCCGACGTCTGCGGACTCGACATGTGGAACGGATTTAGCAATACAGGCATCAGGGAAGGGTAGTCGCTTACACGGATAAAACCTGAGCGTGGTGTGGCATGGGGTCACCACAGGGGCTGGGTTATTCCTGTGAACTACCACGGTCCCTTCTCCAAGGCAGTAAAACCAATGGCCCCGACTTCCCGGGGGAGAAGGCTTATTTTCCTGCATTGTCTGACTCCCGAAGTGCTGATCAAGGGAGCTGAAGCGGTCTTGATATCAGGTCAGCGCAAGACGACCGCGATTATCACCGGGACATAATCTTCGAGGTCTACAAAACGTGGTTCACTTGAATTACTGAGAAAGTGCGACACGAATTTGGCAGTAATAGGGTAGTCCTGGTGCTCGACAATGCTCCGTATCATTCCAAACGGTTGGATCGAATACCGACGTCAGTGGACAAGAAAGACGCAATGGTGGCATTCCTGAAACAACAGAAAATCGCCATTGATTTCACGTGGTCGAAGAAGTTGTTGTTGCAGTCAGTCCGTCACCACACCGCTGGGAGAGAAGAAGAGTATCAAACGTACGTTGACGACAAAATTGCGCATGACAGGAAGGTTAAGATTCTTTGACTTTCCTCCTTTCATTGCCAGTTTTGGGCGATAGAGCTCTTCTGGGGTTGGCTGGAAAACGAGGTCACGAAGGAGGCGTATCCAAACATCAAAGTAGACCAGCTACGGACCTAACGCTTCAAGTAAGTTACATCGACATTATTTTACGCAAGAAAAGGAAATGCTTGAAAGAATGGCGTTTCCCATATTATAAAATGAATAAACTCCCTCAACATTTTGCGCACAATTAGGTGGAGCAATGCAAACTGGTTGAGAAGTTTATATATGCTCGCGACATTAAACCTTTCCAACCTGCAGCTGCTGCAGAAGCAGGATGCCAGCTTGGTGGTCACAGCGATTTTGAAACCTCCGCGACGGATGACGAGGAGCAGGCAGCGCATATTAGGAAAAATATTTGTAAATATTGTTTCATTTGTAGTTATTATTTAATTTGTAAATACTGTTCTTTTGTAAATATCATTAAAGTTCTATGTATAATAAAATGATATTATCAAAATACTTTTCTTAAACATAAATAAACATAACCAGCGTCATAAAACGTAACATTATCTAAAAAAAGTGCAAATTTTAGGAAAAATAAAAACCTTGAATGAATGACAGCGTTTACGCACACTAAGAAACACCTAATTATACGAAATAAAGGATAAAAAAATAAATTCCGGTTCAACAGTAAGCACGTAAAACCGGTTACTCCACAGCAAGATTCCGAAAAAAGTAGTACTGTTACCGCACCAAATGAATTCACCCGTGTTAAGAAAACATTCCGTGAAACCTTTGTGTAAAAAAAATTGTCAAATAGAAGTAACAAAACTAGTAATAATGGAGATTAGCTTCAATGTCACATTTCAAGGAATATTTCGACAACAACGCCAAATATCAAATAGGATATCGAAGAACGGCTAGCCACAGTTCTGAGAAACGAATGATGTCAAAAAATCCGCAAACCGCCAGAAAAAAACCAGGTAAACAACGCTTAATTTGAATGATGGCTAGTATCTCTATATGTTGCCAGCCGGCCACGCTACGGTAACTCTGGTGCTGCTGCAAAATACAAATTAGAATTTACAGCCACTATATGTTCAGTTTATTCCAAAGTAATTCACACAAAGGTCGTAATGAAGTCTTTATAGTAAAGAATAATTGGGAAGTCAATAACAGTATCTATTTCCAAAAGAGATTTTAAAGGTCCGCTTTGAACAGAAATGTTTCATATTAATCAGTATAAGGCAAACAATCGATTGATAAGTAAAAAACATTCAACAGTTGCTGGCAAACTGTCAATTTCATAGACTGCTTGTTCAGCCCCCCAAAAAAATGTTTTATTTTTTCTCTCAGCAGTACAGTACTCTGAAGCTGTATCGTCGCTTTTTTGCTTCTTTTTGTTCCGCTTCCTTCCAAATATTGGTTTTCTGAAGGTTAAATTATTTACAGGTAAAATCAGTTGTATCTTGCCAGTGTAACGTATGATATTAATAGCGTTTACGTAGTTTTTTCTTGGGTGCTGCAGATGATATAGCAAAAAAAATTTTTAAGGAGGTTTTATATACAAAAATGTCTGTGTTCTAGCTGTTAGAATGACAATCAAAACAGAAAGAAAAACCTTGTCTACTATGCCATTTTCTCCTCTTATCCTTCTAAAATTGTCAATTGTGCATTGCAGATGGAAATTCACTACAGAAAACAACTTTGCTGGTACTCAATCAAGCTTACGTTTTTTTCTATAAATTTTTAAGAATATAGTAATAAGCAACAATTTTGAAATCAATATTTTATTAAAGCTGCACTTGTAGTGAAATATTTTGTAGTAGATACGAGATTTAGTTTGAAACTGTAACTGTGTAGGTGTATTTCTTTGCTATTCTACTATCACAACAATCTTTTTGAAATTTACATCATTCTTCCGAAAGATTGAGCTGAAAAAAAAAACAGAATATAAAACCACTAACAAAATAAGCAAAGATTTCTTTGGTAGCATTTCTGAAAAAATGTATTCTTTAAAAATGCTTTCAGTTCTTGGTTGCTTTGTACATTAGATTATGAGTGTTTATGTAAACTGTTAAAACGCCGCAATTATAGGTGATTTTAAAGTGCTTTGGAAAAAGATTTGGATAGCGAAAAATTATGGGTAGAGAATTTGTACAAGCGACTTTGCACGTTTTTATTTTTTAGAGTTGCAAATGAAAGGTAAGAAAGAAAGGTGTACAAGCTTCTAAAACCATTGTTGTTGAATTGTAAGAGGTTCAAAATTTATTACTTTTCCCCTCTCTTTGAGCTTCCGAAGAAATGAAGAAAAAAAACAACTTAGTACTAGCAGTACAAATAGGCAATTTTCGCAAAGAAAGCTTAAATTTATTTAATTCTTTGGAAAGTCTAGTCAGTAAATTTAATTCAAGTTTAATTCAAACTAAATCCACGAACTGAGACTTAGACTTAGCCAGAATTTCGGCGCAGTCAACTAGAAAATCTTTTTACGTCGAAATTCTAGCAAGTCCAGTATAGGGTATTCGTCGTACATCGTCACCTCTACATTTTGAAATTAGAATTAAAAGCGTTTTGTGAAGCGGGTAGTTAATACACAAAATGCTAAAAACTGTTCTTCAAGGGATTTCTGCTGCTGACTAAACTTATTTGAAGAACAAATTTTTTAACCAAAAATTCTAAAGTTTACATTTTAGACTTTTTGTTACTATATCAAATTTGTTAAAAAGCTATGATAATTTGCTTTAGTTGAAAGCAATTTTTTTTGAAAAAAACTTTAGAATTTAGTTTTATGCATATCTTCACCGTTTCAGAACAACAGTGTGCATTTTTCCAGTATAAGCTACAAACCAAAGATAATTACAA